TCAAGGTCATATTTTGGCTCTTGTGGACTTGTTTTAATTGTCTTCAACTTCAACTTGAATGTGCATATGAGCAATTGATGGTCTGTTCCACAATCAGCTCTTGTCCTTGTTTTGGCTGAAGATGTTGAACTTCTCCATCGCCTCTGCCCACAGATGTAGTCAATCTGATTCCTGTGTACTCCATCTGGTGAAGTCCACATGTATAGCCATTTCTTATGTTGTTGAAAAAAAGGTATTTGAAATGAATAAGTCCTTGGTTTTGCAAAATTCTATCATGCAATCTCCAGCATTATTTCTATCACTGAAGCCATGTTTTCCAACTACTGGTAACTCTTCTTTGTTTCCAACTTTTGCATGCCAGTCACCAGTGATAATCAACACATCTTACTTGCATGTTCAGTCAATTTGGTAGAAATCTTCAATTTCCTCACCTTTGGCTTTGCTGGTTGGTGCACAGATTTGAATAATAATAGTATTAACTGGTCTTCCTTGTAGGTGTATGGATATTATCCTGTCACTGACAGCACTGTACTTTAGGACAGAACTTGAAACAGTCTTTGTGATGATGAATGCCACACCATTCCTGTTCAATTTGTCATTCCCAGCATAGATCATATGGTTGTCTGATTCCAAATGGCCCAAAGTGGTCCATTTCAGCTCACTAATGCCTGGGATATCAATCTTTATGCGTTCCACTTCATTTATGACAATTTCCGATTTTCCTAGGTTCACACCTTGTAATTCCATGTTCCAATTATCAATGGATGTTTCCATCTGTTTCAACTCATTCTGAGTCGTGCCACATCAGCCAATGGCGGCCCATCCATATCGTTAAGGTCGGCTCTACTCTGAGGAGGCAGCTCCTCCCCACTCAAATTCTGAGTGCTTTCCGACCTGAGGGGCTCATCTTCCGGCACTACACTGGACGGTGTTTCAGGGCTGTTCACAAAGTTTTCCAGTGATATATCAGACAGTGTTTCACTGATATTCATAAGGTGGACTGGCCAACTGTTTGAGAAGTGGATGGCATTTCCTCAACGGCAGTGAGTGGGTTTATCCCAAGGACCATTAACAGCCTTTTCACAGGGCCATTTCACAAGGGCCCTTCCTGTGCATAATGTGATTTTAAGTATCCAAAGCCTCAGTCAAGCAATCTAAGCAACAGACCCATGAATTTGGTTTTAAAAAAAAAAAAAGAATTTATCCTCTGAGGGAAGCTACCAAAAAAAACCAAAAACCTAAACTGACTTCGAGTCGATTCCAACTCCTAGAGCTCTGGTAGCATAGTGGCTAAAGCACTTGACTGCTAACCAGAAGGCTGGCGGTTCAAACCCACCAGCCACTCCTCGGAAGGAAGGTTGGGCAATCCTACTTCCGTAGTGATACTGCCTTGGAAACCCAAGGAGGGGTCGCTATGAGTTGGGGCACCAACAACAAAGAGGCCCCCTTTGGGTTTCCGAGGTGGTAAATATTTACCAAAGTTGATTGCCAGGTCTTCCTTCTGTGGGTTTGAACCACCATCTTTTGGTTAGTAGTCAAATGCCTTTGGCAGTACTAGCAAACCAAAAGAGAGTGCAAACAAAGTTGTTTACAAGTTTTGTTAGTTCTCTTCGCTGCTTTGTTACTGAAGAGAAGGCCTGAGAACTAAATCAGCTGAACTAAGTTTAAATGGAACAGCTGTGGCCAAAATCATGCTCTCGACATGTGCGTGCTTCACAGGCCGGCAAGTGCTCTGCGACGGCTTCTTCCTGGGAGCCTCGTTGCTGTCACTCTGGGAGGAAGCGGAGTGGGTGCTACCACGCCCCCCACTTTACAGATGGACACACTAAGGCTCGGGAAGGTTAGACAGCCAAGTCGTGGGATGGACAGAATCCCCGTTCGGTCCGGGGAAGTGGAGAGAGATTCTGAAACTTGGTGCCGGTGGCCGTGCTCTGTGCTGCTCAGTCCATTCCAACCCACAGTGACCCCACGTGACAGAGCAGAAATGTCCCGTGGGGTTTTCAGGCTGTCATTTTTACGGGAACAGACTGCTAGGTCTTTCTCCCCTGCTGCTGGCTAGGTGGGTCTAATTGCCAACTACTGGTTAGCAGCCAAATGCTTAACCACTGCACCACTAGGACTTCTTTAACATTTATGGGGATCACCTCCGGTGAACTCTAGTACCTGGCTGCGTGAGAGATCAGGCCGTCCCCAAATATCCGAAACCCAACCCACCGCAGGCTTGTCAATTCCAACTCGTAGCAATCCTATAGGACAGAGCAGAACTGCCCTAGAGGGTCTCCAAGGCTGTCATCCTCACGGACGCAGACGGTCTCAGCTTTCCCCTGTGGAGTAGCTGGTGGGTTTGAAGCACCAACCTTTTGGTTAGCAACCTACTGCTTTAACCATTGTGCCAGCAGAGCTCCTCCCAAACATCCCAGTTCCTCAATGTTATTCCCAAGCAAATCTCCTTCATCTAGGATGTTGGGAAGAGTTCCCAAGTGGGAGAAAAGCGAGCATCCCCTAGTCACCAGTGGAAGGACATTTCTGTAAACAATGCCTGGCTGGCCGCGGGACCTGTGAAGGCCGCACCAGGCCCCGGAGCCTAGGGGCACCTCACCTTGTAAGGAAGTCTGCGACTCGGGCTCTGCGTACTCCTCCAGCAGCTTCACGGAATCGCTGTCCTTCCCCGAGTATAGGGACAGGGTGTCTAAGTTGTCCTCGAGCACCTCACTGGGCATGTCGGGCGCCGGCAGGCTGGGGTCCAGGCCCAGCCCGCTCAGGCCGGCGTAGAGCAGGTCCCGCGGGCTAGGACCCAGGTCCCGGTTGAGGGTGTCGCTGCAGCTGAGGCCCTGGCTGTCTGAGAAGGACGGGAGGTGCATCTCGGACTGAAGGGCACCCTCATCCACGAGGCTGTACTGCTCCATGGCTCTCCCCTTCGGGGGCCTGGCTGAGAGCCGCTCTGCCGACAGGCAAGGTCGCTGGAGGAGGTGAGGAGGAGGGAGCCCTTGACGGTGTCTAACTCCTAAAACGAATAAGGAAGAAGCAAAACGATGACAAGGCAACAGTGTGGTGGGCAGGGCGTGGGCTTGGGATTCAAACCGACCTGTGTTTGAGTCTGCTGCCTGCCACTTAACAGCCATGGAACCTAATACAGGCACTGAAGCTCTGTGAGCTGTTTTCAGTTTCTCCATTTATAAAGCAGGTGTAGACCAGCTCCATGTCACGTTATCGGGAGGAATAAACAAAGGGCCTTCCAACAACACGCCAGGCTGGACGGGCCTCTTTCTCCAGCAATGTTCTCATCGGTGGGTACTGTAGAGTCGGTTCCGACTCAGAGTGACCCTGTGACAGAGAACTGCCCCGGAGGGTCGGGGGCTGCCATCTTCTCGGGAGCAGATCACCAGATCTTTTTCCCAAGGGGCCCACTGGCTGGGTTTGAACCGCCAACCTTTCGGTTCATGGCTGAGCGCTTAACTGCTACCCCAGCAGGACTCCTTTCTCCAGTTACAAATATATAGAAATATGATGAGAGATCATTTTTAATACATAGCCAAGCTCAAAAAATGGGGGGGCGGGGAGGGACAAGTTCTAGAAACAATGAGAAAACTCAAAAGCCAGCGACATACACTCAAGTGCAAGGGCAAAAGCAGGCTCAGATACCGGCCAGAAGCTGCACTGTCCAAAACGTGGCCCTGATCGTGTGTGGCTCTGAGGCACTAGAATGTGACTGGTCCCACCTGTGCTCAGGGTGTAACGCACAGGCTGAAGATGGGAGACTTAGTACCAGAAAAGGGTGCCAATGTAATAATCTTTACAATGATTACATGTTGCAATAGTAATATTTAAACAGAATGAATTATAGAAATTGGGGTCCCTGGATGGGTGGGAGCTCTGGTGGCGTAGTGCCTAAGGCACTTGACTGCTAACCAAAAGGCTGGCAGTTCAAACCCACCAGGCACTCCTTGGAAGGAAGGTTAGGCAATCTACTTCTGTAGTGATACTGCCTCGGAAACCCAAGGAGGGGTCGCTATGGGTTGGATCCGACTCCACGGCAGTGGTTGCGTTTGTGTTGGGTGATACAGACAAAGCACTCAGCTGCTGACTAAAAGGTTGGAGGTGACAGTCCACCCAGAGGCCCCTCAGAATGCAGGCCTGCCAACCTACCTCCTAAATCTCAGCCCCTGGAAACCCTATGGAGCCCCTGACCATAGACACCCTTAGACACCCTTCAAGCCTGGACCTGGACTCACCCCCGTGGCCCAACTTTCAGACCAACAGTCAGGCCTGCGAGGTGAACAGTAACACCAGGGAGGTACACACTCCCCAGAACGATCAAGCGCAGCATTTGCCCAGGGAGAAAGCTCAGAGACAGGAAGGGACAGAAAAGAAGGACAAAGGGAGAGGATACACAGGGAGGAAGTGGGGGAGGAATTACACTGTGGGGACTGCAGTCAACATCACGAGACAAAACGTGTAGGGATTGTTGAATGGAAAACTCACGTGCTCTGAAAACTTTCACCCAAACTATGATAAAAAAAAATGTTTTAAAAAACGATAACCCAGTGGAGCAAACTCGGGGTTACCACGGGGCAGAGGCAACGTAATGGCGACTGGGACGGATACACCGTTTGATTTATCCCGGATTTATCCCGCCGTGAGCTGGTGGACATTCAAGTTGCCTCCTCTGTGGGGTTATGATAAATGATGCAGCTCACAGCTGTACTTTTACTAAACAATTGATGATTCCCAGATCAACAATCTCACGGACCCTGGAAAAACTGGGGTTTGGGCCCAGATTTCCAGGCCTGTGGTTTCTACTTTTTTTTAAACTTTTCATGTTGAGATGTAATGCAACAGCAGTGCCCACAATGTCTCTGTTTCATGTTGCACATCTACCTGCATGTCTACATGTACATAGCCTAGGAAGGGAGCACAGATTCAAAGAATGACTGTTGTTATTAGTCACCGTGGAGTCAATTCTGACTCACAGTGCCCCTAGAGGACAGAGTGGAACTGCACCACAGGGTCTCCAAGGCTGTCAATCTTCACAGAAGCAAA